AGAGAGAGGGAGGAAAAGATACAGAGAAGAGGAGGAACAAGAGCATGAGAAGCCTGGAAAAGGAGTGAAAATAAAACAGATGAAGAAACAAGAGGATAAAGCAAAAAGAAAAATACCCAGAATAATAGAGAGAGCAGGAGGGTGGGTGAAAGGAGTCATGGACGTTTATGTCTACACTGCAGGGAAGCCTCAAAATTAGTCGGAGGCAAGCTTCCCTAATGTAGACATGCTATCTTGATTTAGAGTCCTTGGAGGCACTGGGGAGGAATAACTTAGAATGGCCCTGGTGAGGGGCTATTTTGAAATAGCAGCAGTGGAGCATCTACACACGCCTTATTTCAAAATAGCTATTTAAGAATAGGCATTATTCTTTGTAGAATGAGGTTTACAGAAGTCGTAATAATCTGTCTATTATTTGAAAATTATTTCGAAATGACAGAATTGCTGTGTAGATGCTCACACAGTTATTTCGGAATAACGGCCGTTATTCTGAAATAACTTTGCTGCGTAGGCATACCCTGAATTAAAGAAAGAATAAGAGAGAGGCTATGAGAATCACCCAGGAGCAGACAAATCAGAATAAACAAAAAACAATGAGGATGGAATGCAAGAGTCACAGTGTGGAGCGAGGGTGGAAGCCTCAGAAGCAGAACAAGGCAGAAACAGGAAAAGACTCTGAGGACGCAGAGAGAAAACAAGCATAAAGTTATCTCCAGCAGTGAAAGTAACTTAACATTTCTTACAGGTACTGTCCTGCTACAACCTGGGTCCCTGCCAGCTCTTTCAATAGCCTCCTGCTGGCTTTTGCTGCAGCTTAACCAGCTCTTGCTGGAGCTACACGCCAGGGTTCACCTGCTTCCTTTCAGCTCTGATTACCTCAGGTCTTCCAGCCTGCAGTTTGGATGCTTCAGTACAGAGCAAATATTCTTCATTGCAACATCCTTCAAATGGTTGTCTGAGAGGCTGGGGGGAAATGAATAGAGAGAATTACAGATTTTGGTACAGAAACATGGGCATTAGCTTCCAAGCTGAAATCCTGGCCTGAGCTTTCTCTACAGTCCCTTGCAGGAATACTACTTACTAAGACAGTGTGGATGTGTGGATAAGGCGCAAGACTGATCGTAAGCACTTCTGGAATCCATCCCCAGCTTTACAAATGGAAAAGCACAATTCGCACATGCTCAGCAGGGACTGGTAGAATTTAGCAGCTAAATTCTCCCAAGATCCCATCCTTACTGAGCATGTGTGATAAATGGGGGAGAAGTAATGCCCTTTTCTGGACATTCTAGCCATACAGCTAACTAAAGTCTTGCCTCACTGGTTAACTCACTCTTGAAACCTAACTCTCATTGTCTTGCCTGTAAGAGTTAACCACAGACAGTGGGACCTAGAGAGTCTTTGGGAATGCTAGCAAAGCAGGAAGTGAGTTGGCAAGAGGCCAGAAGAGCCAATGGAAACAGGGTGTGGGCTTTTGAAATGGAAGCAGATGCAGCGACCTTCTTGTTCTACTCTTTGTGTGACCAAAGCAGAGCCTGGGAGACATGATTTAAGCTTAGAAAACAGGCATGGAGAGTCCAGGGACATCTATGCCTAGGGTTGCCAGATGGTTTCAGAAAAAATACAGAAGAAAAAAAAAAGGACCCCAAGAGTTGTTAATCAAAAAAAAAAAAAAAACAGCTAAACAGTGTGGCCCCTTTAAAAAACGTGTGGTGAGGCTTTTTAGCACTAACAGGCTGCCACCGTCTGCCTGCATTCTTGCCTCTCTGCATGGGGCCGGATAGCTCCCCTGCAGAACCCGGTAAGCACTAGGGTTGCCAGGCTGCCTCAGTATAAAGCCGGACAGCCTGGGATTTTCGCCTCCTAGCTGGGAAAAAATCAGGAAGTACTGGACATTTCAGGTGTCCAGTATTTTCTGAATTTTTTTGCTGGACAGGAGGTGAAAATACCGAACTGTCCAGTTCAGTTCCAGACACCTGGCAACCCTAATGCCTAGGGAAGGATTAATGGGAGTTGCGTGGGGAGGCTGGTACAAGGTGAACAAGGAGACTAGAATTAGGGAAAGGGAGATGCTGGGATTGTGGGGGAGGCTAGGACTTGGACAGCAAACCTGGAGGGATTGACTAGGACTGGCTGAGCAAGGTGACTGGGACAGGGAGGTGAAGTCTCAGTACTGGAGACTGTGACTGGGTAGGCAAGGAGAACAGAACTGCAGCAAGGAGCCACAGGTAGAGAAAAGACCTGACTGTGCCAGTTGGAGAAAAACAGAATCTGTGCCCACCAGAATGCACTCTCCTCCAAAGGCTGGAATGGAACTCGAGTCTACCCATTCCTCAGCTGTAAATATGGGCAAAATCCAATGGCAGTGTCCAATCTCCCTTAGAGGTCTACACAGAGGATGACAACCTACTACTAATACCAGTTACTCGAGTGGCAAAGGGCTTCGCAGTGGATCTAGATCCCCCTGCTAATAACCTATGTGCCTGTCAATAAGGGGCCATGTGATGGAATTTCTGGAGGGTTTACACTTTGCTTTTTATGTAAATCTAGAAAATTGCACACATAAAAAGCATATGCCTCCATTGCAATAACATTATTAAGGTTTCAAAATCAAGCACTCCAAAGTTAAGAAATGCCAGAATTTAAGGTTGTCTGTGCAACCTTAATTAGCACCTCATGCATATTCATTATAATTAGGGCTCTGCCAAATTGACAATCCATTTTGGTCAATTTCACAGTCATAGGGTTTTAAAAAATCAAAAAATGTCATTTTTTCAGTTGTTTAAATCTGAAAATACTCAGAATTGTAATTGGGGGTCCTGACCCAAAATGGGTCCGAGGGAGGGGGAGTTATTGTAGCAAGGTGATGGTATTACCACCCTTACTTCTGTGCTGCTCTCACAACTTGACAGCTGCCCAGCTCTGAAGGCAATGCAGAAGGAAGGATGGTAATACCACAACTCCTGCCATACAATAACTTTGTGACACTCCATGATCCTTTTTTGGTGTCAGGACCCCCATTTACAGAAACACTGGTCTCCACCAGGGCTGGCCTTACCATGAGGCAAACTGAGGTGGACGCCTCAGGTGCCAGACTGGGGGGGGGAGCACCACTAGGACCCAGAGTGTAGAAAATTGTGCTGCTTGCTGTTAGCTCTCCTTTATTGGGGTAGGTAGCAGAGCAGCACCATGAGAGGAGTAGAACAGGAAGAAAGCAGAACTGAGACCTTTCAAAGTTTTGTCCCAAGCGAGGGGGCATGGAGGTGTCATTTGTGCTCCCCGCCTCAGGTGCCAAAATGTTGTGGGCCAGCCGTGGTCTCCACTGTGAAATCTGCACGCCACAAAGTAAAAGCACACGAAAGACCAGCTCCCATGGGCAAGAGCACATTTTTTAACTCCATGAATTTGGTAGCACCATAATTATGAGAGCAGGGGTTTGATTGTATATTACCCAGTGCTGCAACCCCCGTAATGGTAACACCGTTAGCTACCTGACAGCACTTCTGAGGCCTCTGACATGACAAGTCCGTGATATTTTAAACTTTACACACAACCTCTTTTCTCACCTCAGTTCTCGGACTTTGTGCAGCTCCGGGCTGAGTCTCTCCAGGCCCTCGTTCTGGATGAAGCAGGACTCTAGGACGAGGCGCCCTATTTCTTCACAGCATTTCAGCACGTAAGCGAGGACGGTGCAATCCACCGGCATGAGGTACAAGTCTGAGAAGTCCAGCTGGGGGTCTTTGCCCACCACGTCACGCACCAGTTGGCTGTTCCGGGATTCAAACAGCAAATTGAAAACATTCATCAGCCTCCTCTTCCCTTTGGGCTCGTCTCTGCTCTCCAGCTCCTCATAGTTCATTTCGCTGAGCCACCCAATAACTTGTCGAGAGGCCTCTGCAGAGAACTTCCCCGTGTATTTCTCCAGGGGCATCCGGGTGGCAGGATGGGAGAGCCCAGCCAGGAAGCGAGAGAAGATCTCATAGTCACCTTCTTTACAGGTCCTGGCTTTAGCCATTGTGTCTCTGAACCTGTCCTCCTTGTAATCCAGGTAATGCACAAGGGCAGCAAAGAACTCCTGGATGGTGAGGTGAAGGAAGGAATAGGTCACCTGGGAAGAGTTATCAGTTGGAGGGTTCTCCACCAAGAAGCCGGTGAGGAATGGAGAAAACTCCACTTTGAAATCCTGTAAATACTTCAGATCAAAGACAAGAATGTGGTTTTTGATGCCATATTCGGCCGGCCAGCCCAGGCGTGTCAGTGTATCTCGCATGCTCCGGGTCTCAGGCCGCTCCTGGGTGTGATTGGCCATAATATGGGTGACGTAGCTCACAAAGAGCTGGGTCACTGTTTTGGGGACAGGCTGTGGTTTCCCTGCCTGGGCGGTGAAGCAGGGCTTCAGGGCCGTGCATGTGATCCAGCAGTAAGAGGGGTTGTAGCACAGCGTGTACAGAACCTGACTGTCCCGCACGTATGCAAAGGCCTCTCTGGAGACGCGCTCATCTCGGAAGAACGTGGAAAAGTACCTTTCCCTTTCCTTAGCGAGGAAGCCCACGATATTGGCCACTCGGTGGAAGACACCAGCCTCCAGACCGGCCAGCTTGCTGGGGCGGCTGGTCAGCAGCACAGAACAGCCCTTCAGCAGTGTCTGTTTCACCAGGCTGGCAACAATCACAGAAATGGGCTTCACATCCCCAGGTTTCAGACACAGCTTTTGGGCTTCTTCTTTCCTCAGTGGCAAATCAGTCCGGCTCTCATCCAAGCCATCAAAGATGAAAAGCAGCTTCTCAGGGTCTTCCAGGACTGTTGGGAGCTTGTCCCTGAGGAGCGGATATGTCTGACAGATCAGAGACTCCAGACTCCTCTTCTCACCAACAGTGTTCAGGTCCCGGAACTTGAAGATGAAAACGAAGGCAAATTTCTGGTAGTGCTCCCCCACTGCCCAGTCAAAGATGAATTTCTGCACCAGAGTCGTCTTGCCCACGCCAGCTACTCCGCTCACCATCACAGACAGGGGGACCCGGCGGGAGCGAGTGCACCAGCGGAAGAGCCGGTCAGGGGTGATACGTTCCAGCTCTCTCTTCACTCTCCTCTGGAGGCGATATTCATTCAGCTCCCCCGCCGCGGCCAGGGCCTCATGCTCCTGGTGAGTCTGCTTCATGAAATGACGGTCTGAGACCACCTTCAGCTCCACATAGCGGCTAGCAATGGGGAAAATCTCCCCCTCAGATTGCCCTGGGGTCTTGTTTTCCTTCATCGACCCTGTGAGATCACGGAGTTTGGCCTTGTGCTCTACTTGATAAGCTGAAAAAGAGCAATATGATTATTTGCCATCTCGCACTTCTCATCGCTGTTTATTTTATGAGGATCAGTAAGTGGAAGTTTGATAGAAAAACATCTCTAAATCGCACCCTGATCACACAATATGCCGAGGGTGTTGGGCGGATAGATGCCCAGGCCTCATTTCTTTGTTTCATCCCCTCTCTCCTCTTCTACACCTCATCACAAATAGTTCTAGTGGAACTAGCCCTGCTCAGACAGAACTGGTAGGTCTGGCTCATGTAATCCACTGGGGAACAGGTACTTACAATACCTGCATGCGAGGAGAGGGACAAGTGCAAAGTGGAGATCCTGAGAGACAGTCCAGGTGCTGTGATAAGACTCTTGGAAAACTGCCAATCTGCTTACAACGTCACTAACATGTGGAATTACACACTGTGATTCACCAATGTGCATAGTTTACTGGCCTGAACCTCTCAATAACTCCCATTTCCTTTCCTTAGCCAATCGAGCTTTACTTAGTTTACTATGGAGTTGACTGCTTACATTGTCTTATCTTTGGCCTACGACCCAGTAGGGGGTGAAGTGATTGGTCCCTTGGGAGATGCCGTGTGATTTCTGATTTCAGTGACCTATTATCACAAAATCCCCTTTGTCTGGGTGGCAAGATAAACTGAGAGTCTAAGGGGGCTGTCTATGACTCGGTGGTAAGACTGGAATATGGATCCAGGAGTTCACATTGGTCACTGGCTTGGGGGAAATCTAATTATAGAACATATCACCAGTTTGGGGGGGGTGTCATATTTTTTGACCAGCTGCCCTGAGGTAGTTGCTTCTCCATGGCGACGGGAAGCGGATCGCCCTGGGGCCAGGGTACTCTGCCTGGCAGCAGGGGTCATCCTCACCTCTCAGTAGTAGGCTGGGAGGGCAGGAGGGTGGAGCAGGCTGCTCGGCCACTCCAGCTCCTATCTCCGTGGTGAGTGTGGGGGAGAGATGAGGATGACCCCTGCTTCCAGGCCCCTGGTAATCCCACAGCTTGTGCCATGTAGGGCAAGAGTCGGAGTAGGGGCAGGACCTGTGAGGGAGGGGTTACCCTGGAACCTATATCTAGGACACTGGGAGGAGTTGCCACAGGGTCTGCACTCCCCTAAGGAGGGCCCTGGGTAGGGCTATGGCCCTGTGCTCCCCCTATACTGCACACCAGGGCTGGCTGGGCACACATGGGCTTTGTCTAGACTACATGCCTCTGTCGGCAGAGGCATGTAGATTAGACACATAGGCAAAGTCAAATGAAGCCGCGATTTAAATGATCATTTAAATTTACTTTAAATTTACATGGCTGCCGCGCTGAACCAACAAACAGCTGGTCAGCTGTTTGTCCGCCCCGC